CCCCTCCCCTCCACCTCATATTCAACAATTTCCCGGAAAACAGAAAAAAAAAATAGCGCATCTGAAATACATATAGTAGGATTTCGAGCGTGAAGTAGAGACGCAGCTGCAATTAAAATATAATAGAACTGCAGTAGAGCCCAGAGTGACGAGCAGTCTCATCTACGAACATTTTAGGTAACAAGCGAGCCAATCGCAGAACTTTTTGTTCCAATTGACGAGCTTCTGTTCGGTTAACGAGTTGTCAGTGCCTGTGTGTGTGTGTGTGTCCGCCGTTGAATCTTGTGCCTAGAGTGTGGGCCTTCGGTAGCCTGCATTCAATCAATGAACTGTTTCGCAAGACGAGCGTTTCCTAGGGCAAAGTAGGTGTCAGAAAAAATTAAACTCATTAACCGAGGTTCCACTGTACTGTGTGACAGAAGTTCTTGTGTAAGACTAGATTTAAATACAATTAGAACTCTTCTACTGGAGGTGGAAGACTCGTAAACGCTAAGTTTGACTTCAGAAAAGGGCAAAAGCTGTTTAAGGAGGGCACCTCAGATACCCTTAGTCCCGGAATGTTATCCTATGGAAACGGTGATTATAGGGTTTTGGGGATAAGGAAATAAGATAGGTAGTGAAGGAAGTTGGTAGAAGTAAGTGTAAAGTGAAAAAAGTGTAGTCGAATTTGTTTCCCGCGGCTGCTGAGAGTAGGTTGTCCCGCATGTTAATTAAGGGTGTGCGCGGCGCTTCGTGCTGCGGACTATACTAATCTGGCTCCAAGACGGTAAGTTGAAGTAATTGACATCCTAACAATCATTTCTATTTTTCACGAATTTTGAGAATCCTGTATTTTAATACTCGGGTTTTTACGCAATTCGTTAAAAAATAACACTGGTTAGGAAAATCTACTGATATAAATCAACAACATGCCTAAGTACAATAAAATAAGAATGCATATAGCAGTTGTTAAAGTGTTTTTCATTGCCTATCCTAATTCTCCACCCATAAGAAATCTTTAACCTCCTTAGGACAAAATGCTGTGAATAGGGGTATCTGAGGTGCACTACTTTAACTACTGTTGCCGAGAAAAAGACGGGCACTGTTGAGGTCTCGGACCTTACCGGATGTTTCTAATGTACACGAGTCTGTTGCAATTCCGACAGAAAACCTTCACACTAAATTTGGGAAAAGCGAAGTAATCGAGTGATTCGCAAACGCGTAAATGTACTCACTCGGTCGGACTCATACATTTTTTGAGTGGGAAGAAGAAGACTAGTTATGCGTTTTCCAGCCAAATTTTCCCTAGGCTCTCCGAAGTTTTCACTGTGCTGGTCAGCAAACTACTGGCGGTTATGACATCGTCATTTTTAGTTCATTCAATTTCAACGTCAAGCAGGCCCCATATTAGCACTTGTTTTTTTTAATTTTCAACCCTCGGGGCAAGTTCTTTAGTGGTTTGCCGCTCTTCCGACCTGCTCTTTGGCGCTTGACTTGAACATCAAAATCCCACCGGCACCCTCTGTTGAACGTCAAACGTTTTTCTTAAA